GGGGGGGGGGGGAATGGTTAGGTGGTGACGTTGGTCTCGTTTACACAATCCAAGCTAAGAAGTCGTGTTATTTGTCCGTTGACCATCGATTGGCCGCGCGCGCGCATCCATCTTTCACCGTCGCACGAGGAAGAGAAAAAACTCGCTCGTTAACGAAGTGTGCTCCGAAAATATTTGACATCAATAGCCGGTAGTAGAAGCTGTCGTCTCGCCGCTGGAAGTTTTTATATATCGACGAGGCGCGCCGCGTGTATTTCCGCAAAGTAGAACGGAACCGAAGGGTTCCGGCAAGAAGCGCTCTCTCTGTGTGTGCGCCCGTGCAAGTTCTTCCCAAATCCGTCCGATTCCTCCACTCTCCTCGCATGAATCCAGCTCGCGACGAGTCACATCGACGACCAAGATTCCGGCGGAACGCGCGTCCTTTACCGCCATTTGTTATTTTTCTGCAGTATCGTCAGTGGGGACACGAATTGGACGCCGGGCGATTCCCCGAGGGACTGCAGGCGTTGCTGGAGGAGCAGGGCGCGCTGAAGCGGGAGGAGTCCGGCAACTAAGCGGCGGAAGGAGAGGAATAAGGAAGTCACGCGGATCGCGCCGTTTCATTTGTCTTGTTCCGCGATCGAATCCTCTTCCTCTCTCCCCTCGCCCCCCTCCTGTCGTCCCATAGTCTGGCTTACGTTCCATCTTTTCTCTTCCACTCTTTCTCCTTGTCACACCGCGGTGTCCTTTTAAAGACGAATATTCGACTGTCGAGTTCCGAATTCACCTTCACTTCACGTCACGTCACGTCACGTCACGTCACGTAACTCGACTCGATCTTTCTTGAGAACCCCAAGGATAGGATCTTCTATTATCATTTCTTCGAACTCTTCACTTGTGCGTCTAACTTTTAGTAATCGTTACCTCATGTGCGTTAAAGTGCTTTCCTCCTATATGCGTTTTGTTAATTGCGAGTCGTTACGTTGATCTTCTTTTTATTGCCGTTGTTTAAACAACCTCAGTGGATCGAATCAATCGGGCGGTAGGTTTTCGTTTGTACCTCCGTTGCACGATTGTTACGGTGCGAGAAAGTAACTGTATATATATATACACATGTATACACACGCGCACACACACACACACACACACACACACACACACACACACACACACACACATATACACACATATATATATATATATAACTGTTACATGCCTCAGAAGGGAGAATGATCGTTGTGTATCATAGAGTCTATATTCAGTATTGTCTGTTTGAAAAGAGCGTCGTTACGTGGAAGCTCGTCGTTGACCGTTAGCCGATTCGTCTTAAATTTACCGACACACGGTACTCCTGTAGCATAAAAGAATCAACGTTTTGTACGAATTATTGCCGAGATAGTTTATTCGTACATGTGTACAAAATAGTCGAAGATAAAGCCGATATTTTTTGATGAACACTAGCTTATTGTCGTCTATCTCTCGTCTCTCTTTCCCTCTTTCCTCAGTTTTTCCGTCCACGTCGCGGAAAAATCGAGGATATTCCGTCAATAATGTTCGCAATATAATTCCGTCGTGGAAAAAACCGCTCCGCGGGCAAACGAACTTTTTTGTTTCCGAATTGCGCCAAAGACACGCGCATCCGCCGGCGTTACTTCGGAAATCGCGTTTCGGACGCTGTGACTTCGCGCCGTGCTTTTGCGGAACGGGAATTTGCATATTTCGACGTGAAATATGTCGGGGCTATGAAATCTCCGGCCCGATTTGCGTAGATTGCAACGCATTCACCGACGACAGACCGTCCCTTGCGTTCATTCGGCCGCCCGATGAAAAGAAGGGAAAAAAATTGGTAGATCCGATATCGTCGTTATGCGATTGCGCCGTAAAATTTCAAACGAATTTTGTTACGCAATTTAGCTCGGAGCTTTTAATCAGCTCGGGCAATAGCGGGCAAGCTTAACGTAATAATAATCGCGACGATAACAATGTTACAAAACGGGTGGCATCGACCGAGTTAAATGCTACAAATAAGAGGATAATCCGTTTCGGTAATTTAAGGGCATTTTCTGGCTTTTTCGTTTAATCCTTGGGCGAATTGACGTTTTCATCGCCTGGCGATCTGTAAAAGGTAAGCGAGGCCGATATATAGCAGGGGTCGATTTATTCCAACATGCACTGCGTTGCTATCTCACGTTGCAGATATATACGGGAGACTTACGTTTACGTTAGATCTATATATTTCCTGTTTTTCGAAAGTCCGCCATTGATACGAACGAAATAGCGGGTAATGCGGAAAATGCGAGGATTCAATACGCGTATTTGGCTCGAATAAAATTTTTGCCAAATACATTGCCCATAAATCACCTGCATCTCACCGCGATGCAGGCAGAATCAGACTTTATGCTTCCTTATTAAGAAGGAAATATCGATTTCAGCTCGTCTCTACCGCGCAAATACCGTAAGAAAAGCCCGTTAGCGCACAAAGCGTAGGTAAAAAAGGAAAGAAAAGGAAAAAAAAAAACGAAAAAGCGTTTTTCTCGCCGTGAGCGCAATAAATCAACGCTTTAGGCGGAGTGTAAGGTTGAAATATTGCCCCGTAAATATCAAATTGTACTAAAGTACCGGCTAAAGAACCAAGTGCCTCGTATTGTTATTAAGTTCGTTGTTGCGGTATACGCGGTCTACTCTCTGGCATGACAGCCTTAGTCGTGCCGGTGTTTCAAGGTGATGTATTTTTAAGTGCCCGAATGTGGGATACAAATTTATTCATTATATCCGTAATTCACTTTAAACAAGTTTAAGAATTCGGCTCGTAAATGTTTTCTTCATTAAGTTTGCAAATTCTGTAAAATTTGATGAACCAATGGAGAATAACGCTACACGAGCTCTTTTGTCTTACTGCTGCGAATGATTGCCGCCGTCTCTTTTATGTTGAGTTTTAAAAAGAGTTTACACCAAGAATTATTTAATATTGGATTATCTCAATATTCTATGTATATATTTATTCTTTTTTGTCTTTCGTCCCTAATAACTTCGTAGATTTTTAGTTTAGTTATTAATTAGAGAACATTAATGTATTCTCGCGAGCGACCATCCGCCAATCTTCTTTAATTAATAATTAAAAATCTACAAATTTATTAGGAAAGTGCTGAAGAAGTTTTTATTCAGTTTGATCTAAAGTACAAGCACACGATGGCAGACGTCGCCACTAGCTTATTTACCATATCTCGCGTGATCATTCACAAATCTTTCATTAATATCTCGATAATTATTGCGAATATCATAAAATAATATAGGATTTTTATGTTTACCTCAATCCATAATATGCTTCCACGGGAGGTATTCGAAAGTTATTTTGAGACACCTTGTATATACATATATACATACATACATATATATATATATATATGTGTGTGTGTGTGTGTGTGTAACGCAACGCGATTCGGACATGAAAAAGTATGCGACGCGTAAGAATATCAAAACAGTAAATAGAAAAAGTTACGTTATCTCTAGTCACTGCTCGACACAGAGTCGACTACCGTGCGCCCAAATATGAAAACAATTACACATCCAAAACATTCCGGACCTTCGAGAGAGTCAAACTTACTTTGGTGCGAGCTTTCTCCAATGTTTCTATTACGTTTCGAGCCGCCGAGTTGTCCACACGTTGTGACATACGTGTATCGGTGTGTTATTCATCGAGTCTGTTGAGTGATTAAATATTACGTCGGTTCTCTTGCAATACGCAATCGTTTCTCTGTTTCTCTCTGGTATCGCGTTAATTAACACGCGTTACTACTATCCAATTGCATCTACGCGAGTATTAGTACCATAAATGGCCGGGAGTGTCACAACAGAGAAGCCAGGATAGAACAAGTGGGACAACAATGGTATATCACGCATTTCCAGGTATGTTGCATGATGTATTATACAGAGAGGTTTCCGATTTTAACGGACCTGCGATGAACTTGTCGGGTATAAAAAATACCCGAGTCGAAATTTAGGTCGGTAGTCTGTCATCATTATTTCACAAATTATAACTTGACAATTATAGCTTCATGAATCTTGCATTATTTGTCAACCTGTATATTTTATTTCATACAACAAGAAATATTGATCTAACTAAGCGAATACGGGTCTGCAAATGCGGACCTGTAATTAATTATGCTCTCATCCTACATATACATACACACAATATTAAAGATTCAAAAGAATTTATAATTATGAATACCGGCCTCGGAATATGATGTAAATGTGGCAATTGCTATTTTTTGCGTCCAATAATGCTCTTTGAGTCGCGAGAGCGATCTTGTTTACATTCGTCAACGCTTTTTTCACGTCTAATTAGTTCTGTTATTGTATGTAGTCCAAATTTAAATCTCTAATGATCATTATTGAATACACAACTGTTATCTTTGGCTTTAAAGCTTTTTTCTTGTTTCTTTTAAAAATTTCTTTTCATCCTCTTTTCAAATGTCATCGAGATTTATAAAATATTAAAGAAAGGAGAGATTAAAAGAATAAAAATTTGTTGCTGGTTTTATACATTCGCATACTTTAATCCTTATTAAATTATTTGATATTTACTCATTTTTTCTGACACTTTACTTACAATTGAGTAACTTACATAATTAATGCATTGCTGATTGAAATTAAAAATAAAGATTAAGTGGAAATGGAATATATATATTGAAACAGTTTAATATTAAATAATTCTAAAATGAGTCTTTTCCAAGACTCAACATGGAGAAAACAGTAAGTAACGGTAGGTTTATGAAGGTAGGACAATAGATTGTACTATGTTGTATCTTGAGACTCTTTATTGGCCCTTCAAGTTCGACAGTATTTGCAGGGTTAATGTAGAAACGTAATTTCGACTCGAGAACTAACTACTAAGCATATCTAAAATGATTTTCTCTTATACACCAAACTGCACTACATCGCTGCGTGTTATGATGCACAAACTCGTTAAATAATTAGACACACCAGTGCGTACTTTATCGTCCGATTCATTACACCCCGCCGAGTTGGAAACAACATAAGATCGTTCTCGCGTTGGCCGTTATAATTGCCACGTGTTTTCCGCGTTGTTTCCGACAGATCTCATCCTAAGCTCGTTCGACCTCTCGTAGAGGTGCCGTGTGAGGAACATTAGTGGCACTTGCGTGGGTCATAAAAGTCCGGTAGCGTATGTGCTCGCGTTTCTCTTTCTCTCTTTTACGTGGGTGGATAACGACACGCAATTCCGCGCGTCATAAAACGCGGACATTCAATTTCGTTGCCGCGGAAAATGCGCGAACGAACGAACGAACGAACGAACGAACGAACGAACGGTCAGACGAACGAACGGACAGACGCGTTGGGTGCAGAGTTCATAAAGTGTAGTGTTGCGGTGTGAAAAAACGGCGACCACGACTGGGGACGCGGAAATAAGGAGAAAAAATATGGCTAGTCAGCGCACCGAGGAAATACTTGTGGCCTTTGCTATCGCATTCTCTCGCACTCTCTCTCTCTCTCTCTCTCTCTCTCTCTCTCTCTCTCTCTCTCTCTTTCTGCACTCACGTTCTCGCGTCGCTCGTAATTTATTCGATGGCCATGCTCGAAAATGTTTTCAGACCGGTGTCTCTCGTTCCGCGGTCGTAACGTAACAAGGAGTCGCGAGGTGGTTCGTATACTTTGCATTTTGCAGCTGCAACGTGTTCTGCGTGACCTTAATTCCAATTCCCACGTTCTCCTTCGGGGTTGATTTTTTTGGCGAGACAAGTATCGAGTCCTTAATAGTTTCTTAAAACGATGAGATAAACTTCTTTTTTAAAGCCCTGCTCCCATTGCTGCGGTTTGATGCTCTTGAGGCCGCGAGTGCGACCTTGCTGGCACCTGTCGACGCTTTTTTTTATGTCTGTTTTGTTATTGTACATAGTCCGAATTTCTCTATTGGTAAATAGCATTATTGAATATTGAATGCACAACTGTTGAATGGATGACGTCAAGAACGAGAAAACATGACAAAATTCTTTTCAAATTAAAAGCTATTTGTACCAGAAAACGCTTGAAATCGCGTAAGCATATTTGTAAAATGGTCCTATCCTTTTCTCTTGACAGTCAATAAATAGCCTTAAAATTAACGTGACATGTCTCTTTATCATGCAACCTGCCTCTTTTTATCATCTTTCCTTTATCTACCTTTCCTCACTATTCTGCCACATTAATTTTAAGGTTACTTATTGACTGTGAAGGAACAAGCATAGTATTTTCAGAGCATTTTCTTTCAAATAAATATCTTCTTATTTGGAAATGGTGCGCAGGAATTTTTGCCACGCGTTTCTTGTATTCTGACGTCATTAATTCAGAGTTCCGCAGCGTTGGGACCAGCCTTAACGGAGCTGGATCCTCACGGTCGCTGAAAGCGTAACGAAGTCTATGACACTTTTGCTGAGGGCGCAGAATTAGCTGCCACGCAATAACGTCATAACGCGACAATACGATTAGCTGAATTCTGTCTCCGAGCATTTTTAGAAACGAGGTTTTTGCCAATTCATCGATCCGTCGGTACATTTGTACCATTAAAGATATATTGTGGTGGACGTATAGCCGATAAAGCGGTAAAGAAAGGAATAAGTAAACGAAAGCTATTTTCCGAGGCGAGCGGCGCGCAAAGCCCGAGAACGTGAGCTGAGAAACGACAAGTAACTCCATCTCCGCGTCTTACCGCCTCTTCTTTCCTCCTTTTATTTCTCCTTTTTGCTTTGCTTGCTCGAAGAAATGCGCCTTCGAGGGGATGATACCTGTAGGTATTATCGCGTCGCTGCTGTTATTCCAAACGGTATTACGCGTAAGCAGATCACGACATTCAATCTATGATGTTTCGTCTGTACTTCGTGCTTCCGCGAGGATATCTCGCGAACGCAGCAACGAGAGGTCGCGGTAAAAACATTTCTCCGTATTGTAAAATTTGTATCGCGTCCACACGAAGAACTGAGAGAAGCTTTTCCGTTGTAATTTAAAACGATAAAGGAGTTACCTTTGAAATGAAAGTATCTATAAAAATAGCCTAAAGGGATTCAATAGCTGGAACGAGTTTGAATAAATATCCAAGAAGTTACAGCGCATTCTTCCTCGAGCGATACCTTTTTTTTTGTGTATTCCAGCGCGCGCCTGATGTTTATAAATCTCAATCGCAAAATATTTATTCTGCGCTGCGAGAAGATTTAATCCGAAAATTTTAGATTATTTCTCGAAGTTGGGATAATCGAGATGTGTCAATGACGCGTCTCGCACGTTCTTCGCATGCCGTGAAAAATTGACACTCCCCGAGATGTAGCGCGGCATCAATCTCGCCGGAAGATACGTTTTTAGGTTGAATTTATTTTACTCGAACATGGGGCTGGTGGATAAAAGCTTTTTTTTTTATATTAAGTAAACAGGCGTGTTTGCATTCGACGTATTTGTGTCGTTTCTGAAAACTGCGTTTCGCATGGTGCGTTATTTTGCGCTGTTTAAAGACATAAATATCGCATGCGAGTGCCTGCAACGGAGAAGCTCGTTTGTCACCATTTATGAAATATATGCTTGCCGGAATTATGCATGGTGTTTATGTAGTTTTAGGAGAAAATCCAGCTGTTCTCCTTATTTATGAAGCTTTGCGCTACAAGAACGCGTTTCTTTTTCTCATGTTCCTTTTTTTCTATCGGAACGATCGAGCGTGACACGGTAACGTATATCGATGTGACATACGATGTTTCATCTTTCGAATAGCAAGGACCGCGCTTGAATAATGAAACGGTCCATATGCGAAATATTTCATCAAGCGCAACGTGTTAAATTTTGCAGAGAAATTTTTTCCAAAATTCCCGTTGTGTCGATCTCTTATCTATGAAAATTTAAAACGAGACATAATCACACGCGCATATTTAACGTCGAGAATTTATCGTTTGTCATGACAAACTACCCTGGAAAAGATAAATTTTGTAAATAATTCATAATTCAAAGGGGGGAACATACTATCTTTTTTTTTTTTTCAGTATAATCTAGATACCGTTCGGAAAAAAAAAAAATAAAAGGTTACGAGGGAAAGCCGAGTTGAATCATAGATCGAGCTATAAAACAGATCCTCGTTCTTAATTTTAGGGCGTTCCTCCTTTTTTTCATGGCATGGCTACGTACGAGTCACGACAGACTCAATCTTTATAGGCCGGGTGCGATCGAGAGTCGAGGGTACTTGCGTTGATTCAATCGCGTTACGATATATAATATTCACGAAGACGGTTGCCCGGCGGGCGTCTGTAGTCATCTTATTGCTCGCGATAACCACCGGCAGTAATGTACACTGCACGACGCGGGCGCTGTCTCTCTCTATCGGCAAGGGCCGAGGGCAATCAAGGTTTACGATTGACCGAATCGTAAACCTGCCTGCGTTGCGACGGGTAGTACGATTCTTGATCGTATAATCCGGATCTCGGGTCCGCACGTTGGCCAAATTCCGTACAAATGCGGCATTAATTCCGCTGAGGGCTGGCAGAGTCGTCGCTCCTCCGATATCTCTTGATGCCACCTCGAGGCGCTGCGCGCACAGACTCTGTGCGGGGAGATTCATATTTGTACCGCTTCAAGTAGGAAATTTCGGGAAGATATACTTGATCCACCTTAGCGAGAGACTTGGCTCATCTCAGTTCACCTTAGGCGCTCTACGCGCGCTCAACTGTTTCAAACAGAGCAGATCGGTTAACCAGAGGAACTATTGTGTAATGAATATAGTATTGAATCCGTAATCCTCTGATAATAAGTTTACATCTCCACGTGAAAGTTGACTCGCGAGTATCGCGAACTTGCGGGTGAACTTTGCCGGAAGAAGACGTTCTTCCATTTCTCCTCGAACGATCGTTCGAATTATTCCCGTAATTATTTACATGAAGTGTCTGCGAAGCTGTTTGCCGATTTCCAGAATACAAGAATCCTTGGTTTTACCGCGAACTCGTTCTCGTCAGGTGCGATAATTCAAGGGAGGCACGTAAAACGATGCATATCTCTTTCCCCTTTCTTTCTCTATCTCCTCTCAGCCAGGCAGGCTGCGGTATAGAGCATTTTCCTAACTTTAAGAGCTCTTTTTGCCCCATGGCCAGCGCTCGCCGAGCACTTGGGAATATCGTCCGCGAACTTTTTGCAAATCCAACAAATTCCGTCGCGGAGGAAACGCGAGCGGTTCTTCGGGAGAGTAACGCCGTCAGGCGTTTCTTAAAACGGCCGCGAGATATAACTCGCCGGTTTCATATTATACGTTCCGAGCCGTATTAAGGGGTGAAATTTATAGGTCGAGTTTCCACGGTAAACTTAGCCGATATCTCGCCGGGAGGCGAAACAAAGAGTGGCTCTCGGAGATGGCGCGGACCCCGCCACCGGGGATCTACTCTGGCGGCCGCCCCGTTTCCGTCGTCTTTTGCGCCCCGTTCTCGTCCCCCGGCTAGTTGCCCCTCTCGTTTTTATTTTTCCACCCGGGCTTTCGCCGCCCGTGTCTTCTCCGTCGCGTTTCTGCGGCGCGGAGTGTCGGTCGAACGACGGCGGGAGAAAAAGCTGAGAGCTGCAGCCTGGACGACGGGAGAGACGAGGGGGTGAACGACGGGGAGTGGGTGCGCCGGGTGGCCGTCGAGAGGAGGGTGAGAGAGGGTGAGAGAGGGTGAATCGTAACGGCGCGAGATAGACGTCGGAGAAGACAGGGAAAAAGGCAGTCGGTTGGGGACGGTCTGAGGGACGGTCGAGGGCCGCGCGTAGAAACTAGCTGTCCATTCAGCCCCGCGAGTCGACGAAGGAAAGAAGCTTAAATGGTTTTTCCATGGCCGAATCCGGGTCTAAACGTGTCGAAACTTTTTAACGAGCTCGTTAGGGCCCCGCGAATGTGCGGGGAAATTAATTATCGTTGAAAGAGGCCGCCCGCCCGCTCGTCTATACGGACACACGATGCTCCCGCACTTTTCCAACTTTCCCGCCCGATAGCTACATTCGCACGTGAGTTTGGTGGCCAACGTTTTTGCGTTTCCGTCTGAAAAGACGTAAATTATGGCGAGAATCTTCGTCGTTTGCCATTTCAAGAAATTGCACCTCATTGACGAAATGACAGTCGAGAATGTTTGGAATTTTTGAACGTTTGTAGCACGCAGAAAATATTATAGTAGAAATTACGTTGAAATTATATTTCTATTTATAGTGCTGTTTGTAAAGTTGGACTATACTTAGAATTAGCTATAACTTATTACAATTATTACTGGAATATACTAGAATTAATTACGTATAAATTGCTATAAAAATAGTAAATTTGGTGATCTACTTGGCATACGACATAAAAATTTTGTTGTAACTATAATACTTTCCCCGTGTGCAAAAGTTTACACCAAAAAGAAAAGATATATAAAAAATAGTAGATATTCCTTTGGAGGATATTAATTATATATTTGCTTAAATTCTTTTATTTAAATAGAATAAACAATTGCTTTCGTGAAAAGCCAATTTTTTAAAGATTTTAAGAAAATGCATATTTTCCTATCTGAAATATATTCTATATATTAGTATAAATAAAAACATGTTATTAGTACCTACCGTATAAATATTTTTTACCTCTCAAATACTTTTCTTCTCATAGCGTACGAGTTTTAAATTTTGTTCTTCTTTCCAAATGAGTCTTCTCATAAAAATCAATTTCACTTTATTCTAGTTTATTTCGATTTCTTGTTTGTAAGGAATGATACACAATGGCACACAAACAAGCCTCAAGCTCACACAACTCACGCGAGTATTCTTCGCGCATACCTTAACGGCACTCGATGTTATTTAAAGGTGGGATCGAAATAAATGAGAACTCGCTCGTTTTTGCAACGACGGCGTTTTCGACCTGCCGTAGATTTATTTTGGATACCAGTAGCTTTCGAAACCTTATAAGATATTAAGTTACGAGGCTCGCGTTTCGTCGATCCTATTCTGCCGGCACGAGAATGGTCGTTAGGTCGATCGGTTTGATTAACTCTCGACTGCATCGTGTTGCTTTTGCTAGAACACAATAAACGAAATATGACGTCTACGCGGTTTCACGCAGTTTCATGGCGCGTGGTACCTGCGTACCACGAAGCGTAATATCGGCCGATTAAAGGTAACTGAATTCTTCGTTCCGAATAAAGTCGTGCGCGAATATTTCCGACGTTTGGTGTGTATCGCTCGTGTGCTGAGTGATTTGCGTTGAATTCAAATAGCCGCTCAATGGAGAGTTATTAACGACCATATCGTCGTGGCACGAGGGAAGTCGATGCGTTCGTTCGAGTGCTCCGATGCTTTTCACCGGTGCTCTTCGCTATGATAAAATTTCGGTGCAAAACGGTCCGCGCGTGCGAGAGCGAAACTGCGCGAGACAGAAAATCCCGCGTCCTCTTTCTCTACCTCTTTCTCTCTCCTTCTCAGAATCGTACGGCGGCGGCGGCGGCGGTGGCGGCGACGGGTTGTGGCGTAGCCACGGTATAGAATTTAAAAAATCACCGTTGAATTTGATATACGCCGACGTAATATGTATCGACGTTCAACTTCGATCGTGCAAAATCGTAGGAAAGGCTTACACACAAGTATCGAGCGACATGCTTGTCCGTCGACTTGGTCGACTCGGCGCGTCGCTTCGCGATTAGCCCTCGTTCGTAGCTCTTTGTAGATCGCGTTGTTGGTCAAGCCTACCATCTCGAATCGGCGAGACTGGGGAAAGGATCAGTCCTGAAAAAAACCACCGAGTAGGGTAGACCGGGGCTAGATGCTCCATATTTCAGAATTATAAAGCTACAGCTTCTCAAACAACTAATTGTTGTGATTAACTACATAAATCTGATAGCTTTCTTCTGTGCTTATGTTTGTTACGATCCCTGTTAACTGTATTTTGTTTTGTAATAACCAAATTTTATAATAAGCATTTTATTCTATAATAATCAACATAAAAACACAGCAACGCGTCTACCTTGCCCCGGTTAAATTTCCCAGAAGCACAGGATAAAGAAGGCAATACATAAAATGTATATCTTAGTAGTTCCGAAGGATCCGCTAGAGATCTCCACGGTCCTCCTGTCGGCCCTCAATTATGGACTAATTTTACCCCGTCCGGCCATATACTCGATATCACTCATTTTATGAATGAAAATTGCTTTCATCATCATCAACAGTATAGCATACGCTTGCGAGAAATTTCATTCTACCTGGTATAACACGTCACTTAACTTTATTCATTCGCGATGGAGAATGTTACTAGAAAATTTCAAGACTCGACAATTTACTGTGGCACTACACAAGTCAAATTTTTTCTATTTTTCAACTGTAATATTATGCCGATTTTAATGGAATTCTCTCAGACGAAAGTATCTATACTCTAAAAGAATTATTTCGCGATTTTATATCCGCTGCTTTCCTCAAAATAAATACTAAAAAAAGCACATGAGTAACATGACCCTTGGGGGCCATCTAGACCCGGTCTTCCCTACACTCGACGACAACGAGCCGGAATATCGAAATATTTTGCCTACCCGACGCGACTTTATGTCGGTGTAGCTTAAGTGGAATCGAGGATGCCCGGGCTGACTTGGCTCTTCGATCCAACATGGCCGGCTTGACGTGCTGGAGGAATATGTTTTTTTTTTTTCGACTTCAGGTACCGTATGTACAAGTTGTGTAGTCATTCGCGCGCACACACACACGCACGCACGTTGCGTCACTCACTCTTTCTCTCTCTTACTTTCACTCACTCACTCTCTCTCTCTCGTTCTTTCTCTCTTGCTCTCTTTCGTACGGTTTTACATCCTCAAACGATTCTCCATTCGCACTAGGAGCAGTCGCCCATTATTCCGTCGCACGTGATCGGTGTGTCGCGATGTATATATAATATAATTATTGACTAGGACAGTGTTTTTTTGGTTCCAGCTTCGACGAGGAAATCGCTGAGTACAAATTTAACATCGAGTATGCCCGTGGCTAAATCGTTAAACATTTATACAAACGCGTTGGTCTTCGTATCGCAGTGATAAGGTGCGTTTAATCGCCTCGTTGTGTCGTGCCGATCGATGTTTCGCTCTTCGCTTTTAGCTCTTACCTTTTCAGCCAGCATCGATAGCTCGATCGAGCTCTCCTCTCGTCGACGATGCACGCGAGGCACGCGCTCTTTCATACAACCATCGCATGACGGAGTGCACGTATCAGTACCGCAACGCTACAATCGGACGATCGTACGCCACAGTGATTCTCGCGATCGTTCTACAGTCGCGTAATTCCTCTGTGATCAATGCCTGCGGATAAAGGCCGTTGTGCGTTCCGTTTGATATAAGTAAATAACGAATTGATTAAAACGAGGCAGTGATGGGAAAGGCGCTGCAATTCGTTACCGTCGAATGGGACTCGCAAGTTGGCCCAAGCACATGGCGTAATTTTGCGACGTGCATTCGTCGTTTGACTATTTGATTTTCTAGGGTAAGTTGATAAATTATACAGTAGCTTGACAATGGCCCGTTGGAACAATCAATAGCGCCACAATAGTAATGTCCACGCTAGTCTCAAATTAATAGACCGTTGCTTCATTGATACGCAGCATACCGTTATTATCGTGGATAATCGATTAGGCTGTGCGCGGTTATTAAATGTGATAAAGATCGTGGACGCGGAACGAATCGATCCACGGCTGGATCGAGCTTCGTGGCGTGCACGAACCTAACAACCGATTTGACGTTTAAGCGAGTTTTTGTTCGAGATATTGGCAAGTCAGAGAGACAGCGCGCGATTAAAAGTCGACGGTAACGACTGGTGCACATTGCGACAATCAATAATTACGAGGATCTATCGTGTTTAGCCGCGGATAGCGGGCCATCGAGGCGAAATCGCGAATTAGATCTCGGTTATTTCCCACGTTCGCTCCAGCTGCAATTCTTGCCGGGAGCTTCGCACCTCCGGTCGCGGTACTGACGTGCCATTGGCCGTCTCGCTCGATATCCTTCGCGAGCACTCGCATCTCTCGCAGCTCCGGTATCTCTGGCGGAAATCGAGTTTACCTACCTACTTACGTACAAAGATGAGAATCGCGGATAACGTCGAGGAGGATCGAAAGGGGAGAGAGAGAAAGAGAGTATGTGAGGAAGAGGAGTTGGGGGAGGAACAGAGTACGTGTATTTGCGCGTGTATGTGTATTCGTTTTTGTGTGTGCGGGGGCGGACACACATCGAGCCGTCCCTGGGAGATGCGAGCGGTCGCGAACTTGGAGTAAAGTTGTAAGGGGTGAGTTTTACTCCCACTGGGGCAGTGATCTTATTTCTTCCTCTCGATCGCTTCGTTCTCTCTGTTTCCGCCCCGATCGCCAACGTCGTGTTTGCGCTCCGCGGCGTCTCGTTGCTTCCTCGCGCCAAGAGAGGACTCCGACGACTTAAGGCGCCATCAGGCCCTTTATGTTGTAACGACAGTAATCGCGACCGATTATGTCCTCGTATGGGATCTCCTCCTCCAGTGGCTCCATACCTTCCGCGGCCATGTTGTCGCGAGTCTGCACAGATACACATAACAAGAAAGAAAGAGAGAGAGAGAGAGAGAGAAAAGGAGGGAGAGAGAGAGAGCTGCGATGTAGTAAATTGCGAGTTACTGACTGTTAAAGTGTGGCTTATGATGATTTATATGCATAGCCGTTTGGTACGCGCCGCATCGACTATGGTCGAACGCTGAGCGTTCGTGGAACAATCGTATCAACCATAGTTTACGTCCGCCGATCACTCATCGTAATCTCCGCGTGTGTACATCTGTAAATTCGCTGCGAGTGGGTCGATAATCCACGACGCGCTCGTGGATTATGGTCTACTCGAAACAAAGGGGGAACACGTGCAAAATTCATCCTTGCGATTTATATGGGAACATCAAACTCCTCCCCTTCTCGTTCTCTCTTCTTGACTTTTAAAATCTCGGGAGTATAGAGTGCTCCTATTTATATACATATGAGTCAACTGTTACAACTTGAGATATCTTCGAAGCAAAGAACAAAGATGATCTTCAGATCTTCGAAGTTACTCTACTTAGAAAAAAAGAATTATCACTATAAGACGCTTCTTTTTAAATAAATAACTTCGAAGATCTGAAGATCAACTTTGTTTTTTACTTCGAGGATATTCCGGATAGCAATACACGCAGAAAAAAGGATATTTTGACTCGGAAAATATCTTTATTTTTGACACGTTAATCTTCAAACGAAACTACGTAATGTTAAACGAAGATAAGTTACTTGCAAGAATATATTTTATGATTTTTTCAACGCGAGGAAAAACAATCAGTGTTCTTATTATTTCAAAATAATACCCATTAATAGAAAGCACAAAATCGGATTGTCCTTTTCTTCTGTATAGTTACCGACTCGTAAAAACACTGTATACTATGGGACAATTTCAATCGCTATAATAGCCAGTTCCGACAATGCTTTCAAATTAGGGGCCTTGAAGGGTCTCGATTACACGTGAATATCAAATTGTTTCGGGCTGTGAGTAAATCGAAATATTTATGAGTGCGTGCGCAAAGGTGAAGCGCGCAATGTTGATCATTTTTCTCGTGTGCATTCCGGCGGCGCGTTAAAAAAAAGTCCAATGAATTGACGACGTGTCGTACCACGCCGCGCCACGTCACGCTTTTGAGACATAGCTTCTAAGGGTGCAGTGAAGATGGAAGACCGCGCACGTCGCAAATGTTCTCAGGAAAAATCGCGCCTGGCGATTGCTGTTGTAGCAGCAGCAGCAGCACCGGCAACAACAGCAGCAGGGAAAATAAAAAGGATACGTGCGCGTCCCACGTAAGGGATGGGCAACGATGAAAAGCAAAGACGAGCGCGCGCAGAGGTGGTATGGTGGGAAAAAAAGTCGGTGTGGCGCGTGGTATATTTCATACGGACATGCATGCCGCCCATCAATTCTCGGCGAAGCCCATTAACCCTCCCGCGGGACTTTGCCGAAAACGCAGCTTTCGACGGCTGACGAACGCGACAGCGATGCTCACGACACGCTGCTCTTCTCCGGCGTGATGACGACGAAAAATCGCTGCGACGTATACGGCGCGGATCAGAATTCGCGCTGCAAGAGATTAACATATTTATGGCTTTAATATATCGACAGCAATTTAAGCCGCGAGCGCGCGAAAAACGAGATCGATGACAACGGTGTCGAGAAGAAAGAAGCACCGCGCTTTTGAGCAGCTTTTTCTGATTCGCCGTCACGTTCGGTCACGTTCGCGCTTTTCATTGTTCCCTTCTCGGGTGATTATAAGGATCGCTGTCACGATTTGATGATTGAGTTTGATGGTTGCACGAGCGAATGGGGAGGGTGGGTGGAGAGTCTCGTGTTACGTGCTAATTAAACGTGTGAACGAAGATTGATGGCATCCGCCGTATCCGAACGAGGTGAGTGGAACGAATGACCGTTTCATATATCGGGAGGGATATAAAAGTTGTCATTGAATTCAAGATGCTTCTTACAGCTTTCCTTGGCAGCTATGCGGAGTGAAACTTTTTTATGCGAAGAGGTGGTCTTTTTGATTCGTGTGGAAATAATTTATCGGGGCACACAATGACGGAGGATGTAAAAAGGTTTTATTGACTTCAAGACGTCGGTTTCACTTCTTTTTTCTCCTTTTCTTCTCTCTCTCTGTCTCCGCGGGATTTATTACGCTTTCATAAAGTCAGAAAATGACGTATTTCGTCTCGCGCTCGAGATTGATCCTGGGTGAGATACATATTAGGACTCCGTATGGAAATTTCTCAAACATTTTTACATATAGCATAAATTTATAGAATAAATTTACAGCATAGATTTTTATCGAATTATCTTCCTTGTTCCAAATAAATGTAACGTATTGCGATATCAATTGGAAATCTTATTCTAATTATAGAAAATTATAGAAAATCCTTTAGGATCTAATTGAAATCCATTCCGATTTCTCAAATAATCGAAATTGCGATTTTAAATGGAAAATTCAAAGACAAAAGAAAAGTTGTTTAGGAAGAATGAAAGAAAAAGAGGAGACAGAGAATAACAAAATATGATAATCAGCACTTTTATAATTATGATTTACAGAAATATAAGATTTTTCTCTTTTTAAAATTTTTATAGACTGTTGTATGATCATTTTTATTTAAGACATCTATAATTTATTTCAAAGTAAAGTTAAGCAAAAGCTTGAAACAGTTTGAGTATTTAAGCTGTTTCAATATTTTTTAAGCATTTGTATTTGTAAGAGAAATATAAAATAGAACTCGAATCGTGACACAGAAATATAAAATAGATATTGAAAAAAGCTTTGGAAGAACTTAGATAGAGAAAATGACATTTATTTAGGATTTTTCGCACCTAGAATCGCATTTTTGAAATATATTTTCAATCTCTGAATTTTCGTAGATTTCTCAATCAGAACCCGTAATTTTCTTGAGAAATTGGAAAAAGTTCTTATTAGATCCCAGAAGATTTTCTATGCGTGACAGCGCAGCGCAAATTTCACTCGCATCTGGCAATCCAGTCTGCAGTTTTTCAATTAAACCAGCGCGACAGGAAGTCCGCCGCCTATCACAAATATTTACGTCGCGTAAACGCAACTGCAATTTTTCGGTCATTGGTTACCTCGTGCAACGAGGTGCACCAATATTTTACAATGGGGGACGCGGCGACAAATATAATTGTCGTCGAGATTCAGGACGATTTTTCCGAAAACAAGCCTTACGGACAAAACCGATGATCAGCGAGCATCTGTGAAATTATTTTTTCGCTTTCGGCGAAAACAAGAAGCACATGGTTTTGAGCGAACAAAGAGTCACCGAAATAAAATCCCAGTAGTCGCGTTACGTTTGGCTCGTCACGTTCGACTTTGACTCTGTGTATTTTGCGAACAGTGAAAATACGATCGTGGAGACACGGTCGATGAGAAAAAGGTTGGGCAAATCATGAATTATACTTTGAGCGTGTCGCACGTTTCATTCTCGCTTGACACTTCGTAACGTGAAGTCTCCGCAACGTGACATTTCATCTCGCTGCCCCGGTGAATTTCCAATTAAACGAATGCATAGAGAGCAATGACGGCGCATCACCGGCGTCAAGGCGAAAAGGGAAATGAGCGTGCGATGTATAGGAGGAGCACGTCGACAGTCTAATCAAATCCACCTTTATTGTCGCTTTCGCACCTTGAGCGCGTAACGTTGCGGTTATAAACGCGAGCGAGCAATGCGGACGCCTCTGCGCCGCAGTAATACCCTTTTTGCTGGCATCCGGGTGTATTCTACTTTAAAATTGAAATTTTTTCCCTTCGAAACATCAACCACGGACGCTTGAAACAACTACTGAATGAGAGATTAGAACGTTAATGGACGTTGAAAGGCTTCCTTCATAAATGCACCGACAGACCCGTTATTCGTTCGCACTTTTCCGTATTAAACTACGCAATATCAAAAAGAGAAAAAAAATTGCGCGTTGCGATATTAAGCGTTTCTTTTTCTCTGAAAACCTATTTGTGTGCCTCGGAGAGAATTTTATAGTGAATATCAGTATAAAATTTTCTAACCATAGAATAAATTGATATTCTACTCGATATTCTAGTCGTAATTAACTGTTCTTTTATCTCATAGGCATATTTATATTTTAGAAACTGAAAAATGAGCTATTTCCTATATTTCTAGCGAAATTTATTATGTTCCTTAGTAAGATAGACAGTCTATTCCTATTTAAAAACTACTATTGAAAACATCTACTGAAAACATAGTGAAATTGAAAAGAGAGAGATATTTCCTCCTACCGAAATTGCGCTCGCGTTTGCACCGTACTAAAGTCTCTTTTGTTTCTTGAAAATAGACATCTTGATAAAAACTGGTGCATTGCGTATTTACCGATACATATTTGAAGCAGCCCGATATTTACGAGACATAGTATTGTTACGAGCGGGATAAAACACGGGAGAAAAACGTTGAATGTTGCGCGGAGTTTTGCAACTGACGAATACCGATAACGAAACAAGCCGATAACGGCACGGCTTGCGCAATGCTAATTACGATATTGCCCGTAGCGCGGTGACAGCTGTTTGTCGACTATGTATTCTGTTGGGTGTTCGCTAATGGAAGGAATAAAAAGGGGGCAATCTTTCAAGGAACGGAATCGAAGTGTTCTGTGAATCTGTCGAAAGAAAACGGAGTCGTCGGAAAAATCGTATGCGTAATTTACAAATTGCGTTCCGAAAAGACCTCTGAGATCTTTGTTTCTCGAGAAAGACATGCGCTCAGAATGCAGTCCATTAGACGCTACAAATATTTCAAGGCGCTATATTGATCAATTATTTTCTTTAAACGCTTCAGAGAGTTTGCAGCGTTTGCACTCTTGATTGTTAAACGGTTTTTATCGAATGAAGTAGCAACGCTTCAATCTGTCAGAATTAGTCATAGTTATACAAGAATGATTCAACCTACAGAATTATGGTTTTTAATTTTTGTCAACAATGGGTAGTTTATACCCATCTCTTTACACAAAACGATCCAAGTCTTATGGACGCCTAAAATTAATTAAAAAATTGTTTTTATTTTTTTCTAATAGCGCTGTCTTGTACCCATTTGCGTCTTTTTTAGGAACTTGTCTCACAAAAGAAATTTGTCAATAAATATCTTCGAAGGAAAAAAAATTGCTTGACTTCTTGAACGATAGTGAAAAAATCTTGGTGTTATTTATACTTTGTTATGTATCAAATTTTCACCCTCACTTTTTTTGAAACGTACATCATATAGATTGGATCATTCCTTTATAATTACGGTCAATTAAAGCTACTGCTGACGTGTATACGCAGTAATCGGATTTCACAATACAGAGTGATGATGAAAGCTTTGTTAATGTCATGGAATAAAACTTCTAAAGGCGTGAAAATATAATGTTACAAAAGTAATACAGTACAATATAATAGAATAATGTGAAAATAATATGAAAATATAATGTAAAAGTAACAAGAAATAATTGTGCAAAAGGAATAAATGAGTAATATTAGAGCGTGATATTTATGAAAAGAGGAATTTGTTTTAAATTAATAGAGGGAACACACATTATCTTGAGAAATAATTTTTAAATATTTATAACCGATTATTTTTTGTGTCGATTGTTGCGCATACGTGTTAGTAGGGGCTTTCTAACAACTCGAATTGTTGCAATTTCATTCGGCAAAAAGTGTACAAATCATTCAGGAACCGAGTGTACATTGGTTCCCCATTTCGTGCACGCATGTGCGTCCATGTAAAACGCAACGATTGTTTGGAGCACTCCCTTTCCTAAAATGAGGAACTCGGCGATCACAATTCATCCGAAAGAACAAAAGATCGGGGAGGGACTCTCGCCCGCCATTAACGTATTTCGCGATGGCACGGCGATTTGCATAATGCGGGTGTGTACGACGCTGATTACATTACGCCCGAGGAATTTCCACCGCTGTTTCCGGACGACGACGACGACGACGACGACGACGACGACGACTCCTTGCGGTGAGCGTTTGGCGGGGGTGCCGCGGTCTTACGAAACAGTATCAAAGTTCCTTCAGATTCCGTCCCTCGTACGAAGAACAATAGCGGAATTGAATTTCAAGGTAACGTAATCGCCACCATTTTGTTCGCCGCACCGTAGGCACGGTCATTATTTCAGCAATTACGACGTTTCTCGCCCGCCGTGTAACCCGGATCCCACCTAAGGGCAAGGGAGGGAGGTAGAAAACGACGAAGAGAGGGGTTGAAATTGCTCAAAGGATTTGGCCCCTTCGCCCAACCTCGTCGACTCTATCGCGATGAGAAAAGCAAAGTGCAGAATTTGTATGTGTGTGTGTGTGTGTATCTCAGGTAAGAAGGGAAGACGACTTTCCCCGCGAATTTGCGCGCCGAGAATTAATGGCAGCCTCGCAGTCTCTCAGTCGGAAGAAACTCGATTCATAAGCGCACGAATTCCCTCGCGATCCGCGCTGCAAATTATCTCAAGCCGTGAAGGTGAAGTCGCATTTTCGTGTATTCCAATAATCAAATAATCTGCTAAGACGTCTCTGGCCTAGGAAATTACACGCGTCAGATTAGACCGGGATAATTTAAGACTGCTATGCCAACGCGACGTGACGCGGTTACGTGTAATACGCTTCCATTAGGCTCCCATTGTGCCGTGCGGGCTAACGCCGCAGCTTTTTCGCTGCTGCTGATAACGTCGCGTCTCCCGCGGTGCCGCGGGTACATTTTTCCGTGACGTGACGATAAATCACCGAGGAGAATTCGCGGGATAATTTTAATTTCCAACCGCGCGCGCGCACGCACGCTCGCTCGTGCACCGAATTTTTGTTCCTTATGGGGACCAGAGAGAATTGTTGAGTGAATGAATGAATTTACGCTTTTGCGCGTAACTCATTTCACGATGGTTTATTACGTTACGATCCAAATCTGGAGGCATAACGCGCATTCTTCTCTAAATATAATAAACGATTTTTGCTTCGGGCAAATAACCGCGCGGTTCCGTTGACCACATCGCGGCGCAATTAAATTAAATTATCGCAAGTAATTTCAACAACGGTCATTCTGAGCGTCCTCAAACATCCGGAACATCCGGCGCACATAATTTCTCACATCATTCCTGGCGGAGCGTGTACCACTATGCGGGGGTAATAACCGGCGCTGAAACATTTTCAGACGCCGCTGAATTCTCGCAGGGCGATCTGCATTCGACTGCTCCGTCTAAATCGGGGGG